GAACGCAACAATCGATCAACAAAATCCAAGACATCGCGATGTTGCATACTCACTTCGTCAATAATGAATCCGTGAATATTTCGCAAAACCTCAGCATACATGCTTTGATACTCAACATTAGGATACGTTGAAGCATCCACATTCCGCTGCCGACACAATCGTTTATGCACTGTCGCACCAGTATGCAACAACTCTGCCGCAATTCCGGTGCTTGCCATTGGTAACACACGGAAGCCACTTGCAAACAATAATTCGATGAGTTTCTAAACTTAATAAATGATATATTCATTATTATCAACTAACATTGTAAGTAAATGTCTTTCCAGATCCACCTTCACCAGTAATGAAAAAGAATCTCGGAATATTTGGTGCAAATTCACGCGATTCCCCATCTATCACATAACGTGCACTCTGCATTCCAGCTTTTATTTCCTCAATAATTGCTTTTTGTTCGTCATTCGGCTGAGGATTGGACAAATAAAGATCAAGATAGTATCTCTGTTTATTTTTTCGTTGATTTTTTTCCAATAAAATAGGATCAACGTTGTTGTTTAGCATTGTATCAGCATCAATTTCAGCCTATATTTTCTTAATAAATTTACATATTAATTTACAACCTGAATTAAAAGTTCTGGTTGTATATTTCTACATGTTGGTCGAGGTAAGCCGATTTTTTCACAGGCTGATTGATATGTATCATCATCACGTTCTAGTTCATCTGGCCGGACACCATTAACCCTTAAAAACCACTCAAGAGCGTTGAGAACATATTCTTTTCTTGCTTCAAAACTTTTTCCAGCAACTCTAGTGCCGACAAGCCAGTCTTCTTTAAGTCCTAACACATAATCAAGTAACGATGTGGGATTTGACAAATTGGCAGATCCAAAAAATAAGGCGAGCCAACGAATTCTCTGTCGTACTCTTTTTTGAGAACCAAAGGCTTCAGTAATTGTATCTTTCCAGATATTATCATCATCTAATAAGCCTCTTGCTTTTGCCGCTTCAATAAAGTTAAAATATATTTGCCCATTAAATGTTCGTAAGTCATCCCAACATGTTGGGTCTTCAACGGTTGTCAACAGAATACGAATAGCCTGAATTAAATTATTTAAAATCTGCCAAAAAAACAAACCAAAAGATCTTTATTTGTTGGCGAAACAGTCCGCATTCTGCAAAGTTTTCTTCTAACAACACTTTGGTCTACGTAAAAATTCCACGATTTCTTAATTTTATCATATCTCAAACGTCGATATGCTTTAGCATATGTCAAGCAAAGTCTGGGTTTTCCTTTTTCTTTAAGTTCTCTATTAAACGCAAAATAAGAAGTCAATTGGGTTAGTCGCTCTTCTCCAGCTTCTCTTTGTGCTAATAATCTTTCACCAATTATTTCCTCCTCGCCTTCTTGAAAGGCAACTTTATGTCCTTCTGGACCATGAAGATCCAATTCATCAACCTTTATTTATTATATTTAAAATAATATTTTATAAACCTGATGTGATTTTTTCACTAAAGGCACACCCCAGATCGATAAAAATGCTTCCATTGGTGTTATATATCGAGCCAAACGAATTTGATGGAACTGGTCAAATCTCAAAGCATTTCCTTCAAATCCTTCTGCTTGAATTTTTATAAAAGCCATATCGGCTCCTTTCATCGTATATTTACAAATATATTTTACACTTCCATCGCCTGCCACAAGTTCAACGTTAATACTAAAGAAATTATTTAACATTAACAGAAAAAACTTACTGCGCCTTGTATTTAGAAGAAAGAAATGGGCTATAAGGCACTACATTTGTATTCGTAATAAAATGTTGCTGCCCATATCTATCTGTATATGAATGTGCGTTTCCATAGATCAGAGGATCTTTTTTCCGTTCTTCTTCATTTGGGGCTGGAGCCCTTCGTCTATAATCAGGATATGCATTATCCGAATATTTATTGTCATCTGAATATTTTTTCTAAAATAAAATATTACTCAAAAATTAAGAACAACAAACAGGAAAGCGTTGTTTACAACGACCATCTCTTAAACAGCGTTTATCACATTTATGAATATTTGCGCTAACAATAACTCTATAAAGTCAAAAATTATAGGAGATTATCTTCTATTTCCAAACACTAAACCAAGTTTTATTGCCTTGACTAACGATAAAAACTTTTATTACAATGTGCCAAAATTTGTAATCCATTTTCTTAAATTAACTAATATTTATTTATTTTAATTCTGTTTCTTGTTTCTCCATTTTTATGGCTGACCTTGATTTTTTATGTATCCCGCATTGAATGTTGGGATTATCAGATTATCTTCCCAACTAATCTCAACTATATAACCATACTAAATCCATCTTCTCTTTTTTTACCGCAATATTTATTTTATACATAAAAATTATTCTTTTTTTCGTTTCCTTCATCTCCCAGTCCTCGTTTAACCTTTACTTGTGGTCGAGTATTTTTATTTGACTTAATTTGTTTCTTCCAATCCTCCTGGGCAGAGGTGGGTCGGAATAGTCAGAGGTGTCGGAAATAGGAAAAGCCGGAAATCTGAACTGTCTCAAAAGCTGGAAATCGGAAATCAAATTTTTTTCAGAATTCGGAAGGAAAAAACGTCGAAAATCGGAATTCCACCCACCTCTGCTCCTTTTGGAGATTGGAAGAGAATTTTAAACAAAAAAACTTGAATTGGAAAATTTCTTCCCAAATAGGGAACCCTTAAAAACATTCTTTTTTTATTATCCAATTAATTTTTCTTTTTCTTTTCTCCTCTTTACTATTTACCTTTCCTACAATTTTAATCATATTAGAAAATTTATTTTTACATAGTTTTTGTACAAAAGTTTGCGCATCTGTTTTTATTTATTTAAGTCTTATAAAAGAAAAATATACATATTTTCTATTTTTAATTATTTACATTAATGAAAAGATTTATTTTTGTCATAAAAGAATTTAAAATACAAATTAGAGATTAACCTTAAAAAAGCTTTTTTTGTCTTTTAAATTCCGCAGATGTTCTTAATGTCTATTTCTTTTTTCTATTCTTTTAACCGCTATATTTTAAAATAAACATTTTTATAATAAAAACTCTTTATTTTCAACCTTTAATTAATTAAAATAATTTTAAAAATAAATCATCTTCTCAATTTTATAACCTCTCACACTTTTTTCCTCCTCCTAATAAATAAAATCTTTCAATTCAACATTTAGCTTTCTATCAAAGCCATCTGTCTTTCACTCATCCCTCTAAATATTTTTTTTCTTTCTTTCAAGCATTTTTAACTAGTAAAAGTATGATTTAATCGACTTTACTTATCTAAATAAATCTTTTTTGAAGATATTTTCTTATTCTCGAATTTCACATTGTGACATAACACTCTAAAATTTCGGAGATGAAAAATTGATTTGGAAAAAATTACATTTTTATTCGTTTATTTAGTCTGTCTTTTTCTTATTTTACATTTAAAAAAGTTAAAAAAATATTTTCTTCAACCTTTCTTTATTTCGAAATAAAGCAGAGGTTTCCTGGAGAATATTCACAAATTCTAACACCAAATTAATTGTTGCATGCTCTTCCAATTCGCGCACAGATGTGTGCGATTAACCTTTTTTTCTACTACATATTCATCTACCTCAACCAAAATAATATTTTTATTTTCTTTTCTGCACTTTCCTCATTTCTTGTTTTGACATTAGCCCCTCTCCTGTATTGACAATCGACTAGCGAAGCACGTCCACTTAAAAATTGCAAAATTGGTCATCAGCCAGTCTCTCTCTTTCTATTAATATACCTTCATTATAATGGCCCAATTTTTATGTTTTTGTGATTTTCAGGTTATCCTTCTCCCCTAATTTTCCTCACGACTATTCGCGCATAAATTTTTTTTACCTCGCTACTGTCACTTGTGTTTATTTTTAAATTTTGAATTATTTTTGAATAATTTTAAATAATTATTTTTTAGTATTTACAAGAGCAAATTCAAAAAGAAGGCCGTAAATTACTCTGCAGGTAGAAATTATTTTTACAAAAAATTGTCTTGGTACATGCTTTACTCTTTAATTTTCTAGACTAAACATCCAAAGGTCAACCTCTACCGAGAGAAAACTTTTTGACACTCTTGAACAACGCTATCTGGCACTTTGGTTGTCCAGTTTGGAGAGTTTTGAATTAATTGTTCAATTTAAGGTATTTATATATTTCAAAATTCTTTTATTTCTCTTCAACATAGCTACTGTAGGAATGTTTCTATTTTTACTCAAAGACATTTTTTCTTTGCTCGATTAATCCTTGAATTTCATTTTTTCAACAATTCACCTTTTCTTTTTGTTCTTTTCTTCGTCCTTTTCAATTATTTATTTCTTTCTATGATCAAATAAATTGTTGGGAATAAACAATTCTTTTTTTGTTTTTCCCTCATTTATGAATCTGTCAGCATGAAAAAGCACCTGTCCCAGGAAATAAAAAATCTTTGTTTTTAAAAAATATATTTATTTTTTAATATTCTTTAGCACATTAATAATAAATATACGTCTCTCTCTAATATTCTTAAGCTTTTCAAAAATAATTATTATTTTGATTTTCTCGTCCTAATACTTTTTTTCTTATCATTAAAAATGCTTAAGAAACAATTTATATTGAGTACTTATTTTATTTTTTATTTCTTTCATAAAATAAAAATCCCAAAAAAACTTGTTTTTAATGTCCCTATGAGTCGGCAGTTTTGTAAATTTTGGGGGATTTCTATGTTTTTCATGCTAAAGCCAATATGTCCTTCAACCGATTTTCTTCCACTCCTTCCCCTCACTTTAAGTTTCCATGACGAATCTGTTTGCTATTCATTTTTTAATTCTATTTCTTTACGAATAGTAATTTTCCTCCCCGATTCTGGCCAAGCATTCTTATTTTGTATGTTTTTTAGCCTTTTTATTTTACAGCCTTTTCTATTCATATAATAACATTTAATCAAAAGAAATTATATATTCCCTTTTAAAATTTTTGCTTTTGAATGTATTTTGTAGAAAGCGCGTCTCCCTCCTCTTTTTTAGCTGTTTGCATACCTGTCTTTTAGTTGGATAAGCTATGGGGAGGTGAAAGAGAGAATTTTGAGGAAAAGCTTTTTTGTTTTGACTGAAAATAGACAAATTTCTCTCTCTCATTAACTTTTATTATACAGCTATAGGTTAATTATACAGAGGCTATTGATTCTCTTTTTTGTCATTTAAAATTTAATTTTTAAGGATATTTTGCTATATTTTCTCTTTTTAGAAACGTCTTTTCACTGAGGACAAGGAAGATTTGTCTTCAGAGTTGGAAGAAGGTCCAGATCCGAAGAGACGAAAAACTTTTGAAACAAAAATTGAAGAAAAAATATTTGAGAATCTCCCAATCACTACAGATTTGTACCAATCAAATGATTTATTAGCTACAAGGGCAACTTTTGTAATGGATGGTGTGAGACATGAACGACAACAACCATTGCCGTTAGGTTCAGACATTGGTTATTCTAGTGGGGAAAACAATTCAGTTCACGAAATAATATCAAATGCAAAATCGGTGAGTTTTTAAACTTGGTTAGCAATATTGACCCTGAAACCTCACCCCCATTGATTTTTGGGCAAAACAAGGGCAGTTCCCTTTGGGCAACCCGCATCTATACCTCTGTAAGTTAGTTTTCCTCTTCAGGGTACACAACTTACCGCGAGCTTCAACTTACCGCAGAGCTATAACTTCGTTTAAAATGGTTGAATCCGGGACGACCTGCTATGGTTCGTTTCAGCTCGTCGAGGCACATCGAGCCATACCAAGTCGTCACGGATTCGACAATTCTGAACGAAGTTATAGGTAGCTTGCGGTAGGTTAGCATGCTTCCGACTCTCTAGCTTAAACTTTATTCAAAAATATTTCTTTATCATTTTTAGCTAGGAGAGGATTATCGTGAACAATACAAAGAAAATGATGTAGACCCACCTCTATGGGCCGAACAAATTGCACAAAGCAATGAATTAGAAAAAAGTTTTTATCGAACAGTACCTCTAGACGATTATGGAATGACTGATTTAGATACAGACGAGGGAGGATTTGGGCAAGAAGGAGGGAAATATTTGACACAAAAAATATTGCAAGATTTTGAAGAAAAAATTGGGCAGGGAAAACTCGAATTAACTGATTCTTTGATTGTGCATGTAGATTCGCCTGAAAATCGGCCGCTTAATGAATTTGAGGTATTAATCTTTTGATTACTTTTTGATAGTCCCCCCTGAAATGTGGGAAGGAAAAAATTTAGGGAGGGAGATATAAAATTCCCTAGATTTTTACTTTGGCACTAAAGCTATTTGGGAATAAATTCCTTAAGTCCCTCATATTTTTTCTTGACAAAAACTCCTAAATTTTATTATTATCCTCTCCTTAGTTAACATATTTTTTAGGAAGTAATGGATTTATTTGGTAAAGACAAAATATTCGTTAATTCTGGACGTCCTTTTAGTGAAGATGATTGTGAAAGTTTGAGTACTTTTACAGAAAATGAGCGTGAAAGACGTAAAATAAATACTCGAAAACGTTCATTTAAACCTCCAATTTTATTAAACAAAAATGAAGTTAAACAAAAAATACAAAATAATCGACGTCGAAAATGTGCCTCAGATGCTCGTTATCGAAATTTATCTGCTTATAATGGCTTTCTTTCCAATGATTTTGAATGGGATGATGATGCTTTTATTGGTTATCAAAATATTTCTGTTGATAATTCTTTTGACAAATTGCCGGATATTCTTTTGGATGGGGAATTTAATGAAACTAAAAAGGTTTTTTTAATATACAGTCTAATCTAATTATTAAATTTACCCGATATGGGGAGAAGTGAAAAATTTGAGGAGGGGATTAAGCAAATGAGATTTTTTGCATATGACAGTCCAGATTTCAATAAATTTTTGCCTATGGCGCTGGAAATGGAAGAAATCTGGCTCTTGAGCTACAGAATTAAAAAAATTTTCGCCTGTGGCGCTGAAAATAATTAAAAGATGGTTCAAAAAAATTGCGTTAGGAACGCCAAAATTTTTGGCGCACACCCCAGTTGCCCCCCCTGAAATCGACCTTTGGCTACGCCCTTATTTCTGTTTAATCAACGGTTTTTATAAATTTGGTTGGACTGGTGAGAGTACCCCCATTTAAGTTAACCGTCATCATAAGACAATTTTTCAGTCCTAGAAAGTAAAAAGTAGCTAAAAATGGAATTCGACCAAATAAATAATTATTTTTACTTTTATTTTTGTTTAAGGCTTTTTCTTCATTTTATGACAAATTTCGGCAAATTTTATCAGAAAGTCAAAATTTAAATGAGCGTTTGAGAGAATTGTTAACTTTTGTGGACAAATCTTTTGATGGGACTTCGGTTCTATTTCAAGAACTTAACTCTACATTTACATCTGTTTCACATCTTTGTAATTCATTTGATGAAAGATTTGATGAGAATAAAAGCAATGGCTTTAACTGTTCTAAGGTAAACACATTTTTATTTTAATTAATAGGAATACTGGCTCTTTTCCAATTTATGAGTCCCGTTTAATTTGGGCTGGCTATATAATCGATTTTTAAAAATTTTTAGAAAATTGCCCAAACTTTTATGAGTAATTTAACGGATAGTCCTGAATCAACGGCCATAGGTTCCAAATCCAGAAACCATTAAGGAATATAACTTCGACTTTTAAGTCCGGAGAATCTATGGGACGTATAAACTAGACCAAATTGCGTTATGCTTATTGTATTTTTTATAAATTTTTTAAATTTTTAGAGCATTAATTCAAATTTAATACGTTTGCAACAACGTATAAATTCTTTGGAAACTACTTGTGAAAATTTATCTTCAATTTTATTAGGAAAACAATATTTAATGGAAACAAGTAGTAACAACGATTATACAAATAAATTTGCAAGAGAATTTAATGAAATTAAAGAAGAGTTGAGAAAATTAAAGAACAGGTTAATTTTCGGTTCCGTGACTTTTGCGCCGAGAACATTTGCGCCGCGACTCTTGCGCCGCGACTTTTGCGCCGCGACTTATGCGCCGAGTGACTTTTGCGCCGGGGAACCTTTGCGCCGCGACTTTTGCGCCGGGCGACTTTTGCGCCGCCACTATCATTAAAAATATATCAATAACTACAGCCGGACCTCAATTTAGTAGGGTTGTCGGATACTTGGAAATCTTCGGATATCCGGATCCGATATCCGAACTGAAAATTTCGGATATCCGGCATTTTTCGGATCCGGATTTTTTAAACAATGGCGGCGCAAATGTCGCGGCGCATAAGTCGCCCGGCGCAAAAGTCGCGGCGCAAGAGTCGCGGCGCAAAAGTCGCCCGGCGCAAAAGTCGCGGCGCATAAGTCGCGGCGCAAATGTTCTCGGCGCAAAAGTCGTGATACCTTAATTTTCAATTTTTTAACTCGGGGCTGTAAAATACAGTTGTGGCTCACCATTAAATGTACTCGTGGGGGTAATAAAATAATATCTTATAATTATGGTTGCCGGCCCGGTTTGAAAGATCGAATCGGGCTCCGATTTTTAGTCCGAAAAGACTCGATTGGCCCGGTTCGAAAACGGCAACCCGACTCATAATAAGTTTGTATTAGGGTTGTTGGCGACCGGTTTTAAAACCGGAATTTTTTGAAATTTTTGCCAAAAATTAACCGTTTTTAAAAAATTTTTAAAACCGGAAATTGTGAAAATGAGTGATTTTATTAAAAATTCCCTCAAAATAAAACCGGTATTTGCCTAAAACTCAAAACCGAAAACCGGGTTTTTAAAATTAAGATTAACCGAAAACCGGGGGTACCAGTTAATAACCGGTCGCCAACAACCCTAGTTTGTATCCTAAATGGGGGGTGGTATTACTTAAGCAGCTCCTCTATACAATTACAAAACAAATTTAAAAAACGTATCTTAAATTTCTTATTTTAATGTACTAATTTTAAAAAAAAATTCATTCTAGATTTGGAAATCATTTTTTCAATTCATTTGTGGTCAATTTTGCACAAAATAATGTCACCACATCTTTCGAAAGTATTTTCCTTTATTTAAAAATTTTAAAATAATTATATTCAGATTCACTGTCTAACAAATCTCCCTCAACATTACTCATTAATTCTTCAACTCAATCTAGTTTTTTAACTAAATCAGAACATCCAACAATTTCCTCCTCCTCATTTTGGCGTTCCTACTTATTAATGTGTTTAATTGGCCTTTTCACTTCTTTTGCCATTTTACTTTACATGAATAGCCGTGACGGTGTTGATTTTCGATGGAGTTTTGGGCCACAATTACACTACCAAAATGGACGCCCGCCTATTTAAAACTCTAAAAATGATTGAAAAAAAATAAAAAAAATTTTAGTTTTACAAAAAATATACTAGTTAATTATAAAAAAATTTTTTTTACCAATCAAAGCAATCTCTGTATTTATATATTCTCTCACCTCAAAATTAAGTGCCGTGCCTTTTCCTCTTTTTTCAGGTTGAATTTCTCCCAAAAAATAAAAAAAATCACTTCCATTTTTTGTTTAAAACACCTCCTCCTTCAGTAAATAAGTGCCCATAATCAAAATATTTTTTATTAATTTTTTATCAGGGATATCTCTAGATTTAGATTTTATTTTATGTTGAATATAGCAATACAAATCTAGAGATTATTAAAATTTTTTAATAAGTATTAACTTCTCTCTTCTCTTTGACATTTCAAACTACACAAATATTTCTACTTAATATATTATATTTTGTCTTGTTTTTTAAATATTTATATAAAAAGTTTTTAATCATGTACTTTGTAGTTACATTAATAATAGACAAGTTTGTTGAATAAAAAGTTTTGATTAAATGACTGATAGATTGAACAGGAAGCTAACAAGGAGAGGTTGCGAGGTGTCCGACCTAAAAACGGTCGAGACCGGGCCCATTCGATAGAGAATGTGCCCTTTCTAGTAAGGATTCTGAGCCGTTTTTGCCCGTTTTTTGATCCGGCCAAGATATGGCCCGCCAAAGTCCCAAAATTCGGCATAATTTTTCCCCTTCCAAATATGTATAAACTTTAAATAATGCATTAGTTTTGATGGCGTTGTGGTGTAGTGGTTAGTGTGCTTGCGTTGCTTTTTTCTCTAAAAAGTTCGATTCTTTTTTGGGTTTTATTTTTTTATCTAATTGTTTCTAATATTTTTAATGCCAAATAATTAATTTTTATAGTATTAAAATAAAAATGTTATTGAATTATATTAATTATTGAATTTTCTGAGAGTATAACTGAATCACCGATTAATTCAACTGAACATCATCTAGCAAAAGTGATCGTTGATGATGTGTCGGGAAGGGGAAGCTGATCCTGACGAGTCGTTTTCAAGTGATGAAGGGGAAAATATGAAAGCTAGGGATTGGTCGGGTACTCCGAAACCAGGTTTTTAGACTTGATAACATGCGCATGAATATGCCAAATTCATTAGGTACTCAATTTAATTTTTCTGAATATGATCAGAAGGGCACAATTTTTTCCTCTATTACACAATCATGTAAACGTAGGCAGGATTAATTTTTAGATTATAAAAACTTTTATGACTTGAGGGAAAATTTTATATATACATTTTCGCCCAACCGCTCTCTTCGAACCTATTGCCTATTTAAATTTTTCCCATAAAAATTAGCCTGTTATGTGGAGTCTTTACTTATACTGTTTGTAAATATGAATCCGCCAAATTGGTTTTGGGTAACGAACAAGTAAAATTTCTTAATTGAATCTAAACACGTACATCCCACTTTGTCGCTGACTAATTTTTCGCTCCTGTTTACCCTAGAAAAAACCCAAAGACTAAATCGTTACTTATGAGGTCGGTTAACTAATTATGTAGAACCTCTTGTCCAATAATTTTTCTTTGGATGGATTTTTAAACAAAAAACTTCCTTTAATCACTGCGACAAAGTGGTTGATCAAATATAGCCCGCGACAAATTGTCCTTGTCCTAATTTTAGGAAAATAGTTAGGGAATTAGAGAAAGAGGGAAAAAACCATTCATATTCAAATTTAAAATGGCTTCCTTTCCTTTCATGAGGTTTAAGATTATTTCTACGTTGTTTTAAGTTTCGCCTTATTTTTTAAGTAAATTTGTTTTTCAGATACTAAACATTAAATTCTTCTATCATCTCGACTTTAATTTCTCTTTAATTATGTTCGATGGATTATGAACAACAGTGCCTATGATATGATGAAATGGATGAGATGGTTCTCACTTGATGCTGACAGATTCTGATTTTTTAATCTTATTTATTGAATGCTTGAGTTGTTGAAAGGTTTTTTTTTCTAATTTTTTTTTTAAATACTGTTGGGGTTTAACGGGGATGGGTCGGGTTAACCGAGACCCGGTCATTTTTTAACTCGAAAAGAATAATAAAACCTCGATGACTGATTGTGAGGTTTTCTCTGTCAAAAATATTGGGCTTTTTCGTTTTTCTAAAATTTTCCCCCGAGGCACTAAAAAAAGGAAGAATCTGGCTTTCTGAGAACACCGTACAAATCTGAATTTTTTCAAACCCGACCCATCCCTTGTATATTTCTGGTAATGCAAAGATGGTCGACCACATTTTTGCGTGTAATGATTTGGGCGTTGGTAATGTGCGCATGAATATTCCGTGTCGGCAATCAATCGAAAGTTTTTTGGGCTGACTGAGTCAATGAGAACAAAATCCGGGGTTTTACTGGTAGTTAGAGCTGTATTCTTAAAAATCGTGTAGTTTACCTAATGTTATGCCCAATAGATTTTCTATTATTGCGAATTAGAGAAAGTTTGTAACCCTCATT